CGGGCAATCTTTCCATATTGCACCACCTCTCTGAAGAAGCCCCAGTGTACCTGACAGTCTTCCATGGGCTTGCACGTTTCTGATGAATCATTTCAGCGATCGTTGAAATGCAGCCATCTCTAGGGTGGAACTGAGCAGCTTTAGCATCTGTTTAACATCTACTCTCAAATAAGAGGAGAGGTTCTGTCACTGTAAATACATTTAGACTGCTTTTCTTGTCTAATATATATCTCTAGCCAGATGCTGGTCTGTGCTTACTCTGATCTTAAAACCTATTTCCAGCAGATGGACGGCAGGCAAGTGGGAAGTCCTGTTGCACTGGGGATGATCACCTGTACATCCCTATTTTGTTTTCGGTAGGCTTCTCGGCACTGATGTCTCTTTACCCTTAATTTTACCAGGCATGGGCTGTGGCCCCTTCATGCCATTTACTTTGTGGTGCATTGCAATAGCTCTTGTGTAAATGAAACCGTGATGTGGAGGATCTGCCTGACATTTGCTGTAAAGTTGTCTCTTTCTGCTTCATCTTTTCCATCCAATCCCTTGTAATATCTGCAAGGAGAATTTCAACAAAGCCCAAGGTTAATATTTACTAGCCAGATTTGCTGCAAATGAGACAACTTCAACCAGACGTTGAATTAATATGATGGAGACTGGTTTCCAAAAATAGCTGTCAGCCACTCTCCTTTGACAGAAACGTAAATTTGTGCTGTAGCAAAGTTTCCTTCTCAATTTGTTTCCCTCTGCTTCTGACAGCAGTGGCGGGAGCCGGCTCTGCGCTGCCGTTGCACTGGGGAAGTGCCCTGTGCTCCGCTCTCCTTTGCTGGTATTGCCTGCACAGGGCAGCCTGGCACCCTGCTCGTTCCAGCGGATGATGGCCTAATTAGCGGGCTGTATCCCTTGCAGTCATTCCCTATGCAGGAATGACGCTACTGAAACCAATTTTGGGGATGAAATAGTTTCTAGTGCTTTGTCAGGATTTTTAAATGACATTTTAAAGTGAATTTGGCATTGGCAGCTGGACCAGGTTTGCCTCCTGCGGTGCTTGCGGCCGCAGGGACTGGGCGGCGAAGGAGGGCGATTGGGCCGGTCCCTGGCCAGTGCTGATTCTGTTTCATGGTCCAGCTGAACATGGGCGTGCATTTTTCTTCCCTTGCAGTAAGCAGCGAGTGTTGCTGCTTTCCAGGGAAGGAAAACCTTGCGCAAGAAGTCACATCAGTGACTTGCTGTTTGTGGCAGCCTGTGGGCATGAGGAGCAGCCACCGATGTCCACAGTGACAGTTTGAAAAGGGGACTAAAAGAAGTTTCCCCCCTTTCCTGCATTACTGAATGGATTTTTGAGCCGCATGTTGTATTCAACATGCCATGGACAGGACACAAGGAAGATTTACCGTATCTCACTTAGGGAGAAAGCTAGAGAAAATAATAGCCCTTAGACTCATTCTTTTGCACCTTTGCTTATAAAGCATGTTGGTCTTCTGGGCTCTCCTGAAAAGAAACTTCAAGGATAGAGAGGTGAAAGGTGTTGCTGTTGTGGGCTTTTCCCTTTTTCCCACCCCCTTCCTATACGTTTGTGGTAAACCAGTGCGAGTTACCAGGCTCGGCTGGGCAGATTTGCGTGCTTTGTCCCACTGTGTTGGGTATTCCTGTACGTTGCTCTTGCACAGATAACCTGTCAGCTACTGTGTCTGTTTGCTTCCGTGGAAATGGGACTTTCTGAGGGCTGGAGGCAAGTCTTCCCACGGAGCCTTTCCCGGGAGGGTGCAGGCACGCTCTGGAGAAGGCTCCAGCGTCCGAGGCTGTTGGTGCAAGACCGTGCGTCTGTGTCTGGGGTGTTTTCCTCTGGCTGAAGTGGACTGTCTTCAGTCTGTACTGGGTTCATCCCTGGTAATGTCTATGTGAAGGACTTCGGGGGCTTTACAAGGCAAGCTGGCACGCCTGCTGGTCTTGAAACGTAGGGATGAGATGAAAGGCACAAGTCAATGCTAATTAAAAGAAAGCAGTCTTTGCTAATGGTAACTGCTAGTGATACAAAATGTAATGCGTGCTTGACACTGTGCAGTAAGCAAGAAATGGCTTCTCTGATCTAGTGTGGGATTCATCAGTGGTCTGCTGAAAAATGAAGGACACTGGACTGCAAGTCCGCTCTGCTCATCAGGCTGGGTTGCGTTATTAATGGCTGTAATTGCCTGATGAATCTAACACTGTGTAGTATAATTATGCTTTATGGCAGCTTATAATAGTTGCTCTTAATGAGGAGACAAGATTTGTGACAGCACAGTCTGGATTCTGTTGTGGCCCTTCGTTGTCACTGTTTTCCTAATCTGTTTTCAGCCCCCTCCAGTAATTCCTTACAGAACTGTGCCTGTGCAAAGGCAGCCGGCTGGGCTGCTCCCTTCTCTTCTGCCTGCCGTGGCTGGGGCTCTTGGGTCCTGCAGTTCTCCCGGGGATCGGCTCTGGCGGGCGTTTATCCTCCTCTCAAAGCCTTCCAGAGATGCCTTTGCC